GCCTTGCCTTCTACTTGGGGACACCGTCCTTCCCCACCCCTCTGCCTGGACGCAGCTGCCAAGGAGTCAGGTCCCAGCTCTGGCTCAGCTGTGTCCATGGCATAGAGACCTTGGAGGAGTAAGGGTACCAGGGACTCTGGATCTGTTTCTGATTCCTTCCTTTGTCCGGGCCATTGGCAGCCTGCCCAAGACACTTGCAGCTCTAACCACTTTTACTGACAGGAAAGTACTTTATAAAATGGAATGGAAACTTGCACTTCAGTATGGGTGGGATAAGGCAAGGTTGCTTGCCCAAGATTTATCTTAATCAACAGTTCCTGCTAATGCAATATCTAAATTACTGCCTGCCTGAGAGTGCATCAGATAATGGGCGGCTAATTGTGGCTCACTTTCCAAACTTCAGAACCCTTAATACTGCACCCTGATCAACGTCCAGGTGCCCAACTGGCCTTTGTGTGGTGCAGTTCAGGTGGCTATGACATCTGTCACCAGACACTGTCATTCTAAAAACATGGCTGTCCCATGTTGGCTGGCTTTATAGCTACAGGGTCATTTTCTCTCTGGCTGGTAGCAAAGAGGGTCAAGTTCTGCGTTAGTGGGACATCGTCACAGATAGGAGGAATACAGTGTCTAGAGAGGCCTGTGGGTGAAGGGAAGGGTGAATGGTACGTGGGCTACACCCTTTCTTACCATCCTGGCCTCTTCTTTGTAGCTAGGGATGAGCTAGTCTCTCAGTAAGAGACGTCTGCCTGCTCCTCCACCATCCAGTGCAGGGCTCCATGAATTGTCCAGGTGTCCAGAGAGAATGAAAGCTGGTTTTGGCCACTAGAACAACTGTCACTGTACTGAGCTCGTTAAAAGCACCGTTATCCTCTGCCTGCCCCTCTCCTTCCTGGGCTGGGGGCACCCCCCGCGAGGGAGTCCCCTGGGCACGCTGTCTCTTCCTCTGGCGTCCATGCTGTGTCAGGCCCCTGGTTGGGTCTCCTGTCATTGGTAGAGAATGTGATTTCACTTCCACTCCCCACCACCTGCTTAGAGCTTGCCCTGCTTTTCACTTGGGCCTTTAGAGTCTTCCCCGGGATGTGGCTCTCTCCCAGCCGCTTTGGGTCGTCGCCTCTCACCTCGCTTCTCTCTAGGAGGTGTCCAAGCACCCTCCTTCTGGAGATTTGTGCACTTAAGCCCCACATCCCTGATGAACCTAGGCTCCCAAGGGGGGTGCTGTGTCCCTGCAGGGATGAACAGACACTAAATGCTGCCATCTGGCGTGTTTGCCTCTGAGGCCCCAAGTTCCTTGAGGGCCGTGATTGTCCCATCCTGTGTTACCAACAGGAGCTCTAACCTTGACGGGGGTCCAAGGAGAAAACGCCTGCTAGCTGCCAGACCAGGAATGATTGGCAGCCTTGTGGCTTCCCTGTTCTGATGAGAGTGTCTGTGCTCACGGAGGGAGCTGGAGGCCTTACATCGATGGCATGTTTGGCCCTTCCAAGGTCTGTCTGTCCCCCACACCGCTGACACCTCACAGCTGCCCTGTGATGGCAGCTGGCGAGGCCCCTTCTTACCCAGGTGTCCTGCCATCGCCCCAGACCTAGCAGGTCTGGAACTGAGCTCATCCGCTGCCGGAAACAGGTTCTGGCTTCTGAGTGCTCCCAACTACCGGCCCAGGCTCCCAGGGTGTACATATGATACACCTTTGACTCACGTTTCACTTCACACCACCTCCCACGGGTCCACCCAACTTGCTATTTGCCAAGTACAAACTCATCACTGGGCAGAAGGCCCATGGGGCTCCTTTTATGGCGCTTCTACTGCAGGGGGACGTGGCCTGGGCCCTCCGGGCTGGGCACCTTCCAACTGTCCTCTCCCCTTCTACCCTGCTAAGAGGGCCCCATGTGGGGCCTGTCTGTTGAAATAGGAGAACCTCCTTCTCAAAAACCTGTCCTGTTTACATCTGAGGCCACTTGGTGTGTTGTGTACCGACATCCAGACCCCTGAAGTGGTGGGTGTGACTCCAAGCTCCTCTCATTACCTGCCCTTGTCACACTCATGTGAATTCCGTGGAAGGTTTTGACTCATCATGAGCAGCTGGATGCTCCGGTAGAATCTCACCAACCATGGTGATATTTGCCAACTCCCTCCTGCCCTTACATGCTTCTCTGCTTTTCCACCCCCTCTGCCTACAATAGCATTCTCCTCCTTATCTTCTGAGAAAGCTTCTACTCATCCTTCAAGACCCAGGGAAGCAGCATACCTGCCTCAATCAGCATATACCCCATATTGCGTCATAATTATTTGGTGTTTTGTTTTGTTTTGTTTTTGTTTTTGTTTTTAAGATTTTATTTATTTGACAGAGAGAGACACAGCGAGAGAGGGAACACAAGCAGGGGGAGTGGGAGAGGGAGAAGCAGGCCTCCCGCCAAGCAGGGAGCCCAATGCGGGGCTCGATCCCAGGACCCTGGGATCACGACCCAAGCCGAAGGCAGACGCCCAACGACTGAGCCACCCAGGCACCCCCATAATTATTTGTTTTTACTGTTGTCTTCACTAGACTGCCTGGTCCATGGGGGTGGGGACTAGGTCTGATTTATCAATATCTCCCTAGTATGCAGCATTACAGGGTTCAGGGAATGTTGGTGGAATGGACCTACCCATTATTCACAAGTATTTATTCATAAATTTCTGAGTGCCAGGCACTCCGCTAGGCACTGGGCATATAGGGGTGAACAAGGCAGACAGGGTCCCCCTGCCTCCATGGGGAGGTAAGCAAGGCCAGTTAGCAAGGAAGAAAGCATATGGACGAGATACTTTAGAATTGCTGTGCTTTAAGGGCTGCTGTAGATGGAGGTGTGCAAGGAAGGCCTCTCTCAGAGGACACATGGGAGCTGAAACCTGGAAGATGAGGAGAAACCAGCCATGCAGAGAGCTGGGAAAGCACGCTCAGGGCTGAGGGGATGGCAGGTGGAAAGTTGCAGAGTAGAAGGTCTTGGAGTGTTGGGGGGAAGACAGGAGACCAATGCTGCTAGAACATGAGCAATGCGGAGAGCAACGTGGGGTTGGCCTGGCCAGATCCTACACTGCCTCTTTAGAGGTCACAGTGAGTGAGCAGTTTGGATTTTTTTCAGGAGTAGGGGAAAGTCCTCAGAGGGAAGTATTTCAGACTTTCAATGTCTCTGAACAGGTGGGAATGTGCCAATTATTGCCCTGCTTCTGCTTCGCCCCACTTTCCTGCTACCTCTCCTTCCTCCCCCACTCCCGCCCCGCCCCCAAGCTTGCTTCCATTTAGGCCCTGAGATCTGCACACGGGCGTTTGGGGTCCCCAGCTGTCTGGCTGCTCTTCTCAGCAGGGGCAGCTCTGTTCCTTGTGCAGCCTTGCCTGGCTCCTGCCACAGCCCTGAGGTGCCGACGAGGCTCCCACCCCCTCCACAAGCTCCCATTCTCATTCCTGAGTTGATTGTGCAATGGTTCTTGGCCTGCTGAAGCCCAGTGCCTATTCCCAAACCCTCCTTGGCCTTTGCGCCTATGAATCACCGCCTTCCCCCTCCACACACATTGTTGCTTATCTCTCTTTGCCATGCCCAGGGGAACCAGCCTCTTGGACTTACCTGGGTTCTCCCTCCCGGAGCCTACCCTATTGAGTTTAAAGTCTCTCCTCCAATGAGCTGTCCTGGCACAAATACATCCTGAGATTATTGCCTCACTTCAAAAACAAAAAGAAAAACAGCTAGCTTATGTTGAGCACTTACTGTCTGTAAGGGAATGTACTAAGTATTTTCTATGAAATATTAATTCCTCATTTAATCATGTCGTCAACATGGTGAATCAAGTGCTGGTATTATCCCCATTTTACAGATGAGGATACTGAGGCTCAGAGATCACGTAGTAAATGGCAGAGCAGTGTTTGAACCCAGACTATTTGAACTGCTACTGCCTGGTACAGTCCCCTGTGGTTCTTTGTAGTCCTAAAATCTTTATCCACACCATCTCCAAAGCCACTTCTCTATGGCTGCTCACTTTGCTTTCTTCTCTTTGAAAGTCCAACTCCACAGGGAACATGGGCCAAGACCCTCAGGACCCCCTGTTTCCTGACCCGTGCCATCCTGGGGTAGAGGAGCCAGGCCTCTGTTCTCCATAGCACTTATGCCCATTGGGTACACGTGGGGCTTTTGCTGAAGGAGCAAACAACAGTTCCTGCCTCCAGTTTATGGATGTGAACTAGGGATTGCAAATACTGTTGTCAGTCTCTCCCTGCCAGCCAGGGAGCAGGTGGGAAGCAAGAAAAATGAGAAGAGGCTGCAGGAAGACAGTTTAGCTGAAAGACCTTTTGTAGAGGCAGGGTTGTCCAGAGATGGCACCAACCGCCATCTTCCCCCTTAGACGGGAGACTCAGCACGGGGGGAGTGGCTGCACTGTGTGTCCTTGGAAACGCCCTTCAGGCCTGAGGAGATGGGATGCTGCACCTTGCATGGTGTTGGGTAGAGTAGAACTCACATGGTAAGAGGAAGGGCTCCAAGTTCCTGGGACAGAACTCTCCCCACGACAGCGTGCCTGCAGCTTTCCAAGGCCCTTTGGACCATCCGAGAAGTGAAAGTGGTCGTGGGGGTCTCAGCCCAGGTCACACCTACCCAACGAAAGCATTGCAGGTGCAGGAGGATGCAGCCGGGAGACAGCTGCGTGCCTGCTGAGACCATCGCAACCCCCTCTGCAGGGCACATCCTCTGTCCCTGACTCGCAGAGGCGCTTCCTCCATGCTGGAGGCAGCTTCTGGAACCTGGGACTCTAACGGCGGCTCCTCATTTCAGGAGTGAGCTGGATCGCATGCTAAAGGTTCGTGGAGACGGCGCGATCGTGCCAGGAGGGCAAGAGAGATGACAGAATCGGGGGCTCGCCCGCCAGGATCCTGTGGGAGCGTGCTGTGCCACGATGAAGGAGGGCTGGCGGGCTTGCGCGCAGCACGTGGACCTCTCTGTGACTTTTCCTTTGTTCTGTGCTTGCATTTTCGGTAGGAGAAGGAGGAGACCGAGGGGAAAGGAGTCATGGCTTCGGATGCCAGTCACGCTCTGGAAGCTGCTCTGGAGCAAATGGACGGGATCATCGCAGGTACGGGCAGGGAGCCCTCACCACTCACGGCTTGCCCTCCACACTTGAGGAACCCTTTTCCCTCCTGACCTTTCTTTCTGGCACAGCGAGAAGCCCCTTGGTAGATGTATTGTCTTTCACTGTGCGTGCCATCTCTTGGTGTAGGAGTTCAGACTCGTAGGATTCTTTGATACCTGGTGTGAGGTTAGGGCTGCCAAGATGGTGTGGGCACACCGCACGGTGGCAGGTCTCCGACTGCAGCATGGCGTGGGTCCTGGCTCGGAGGCAGTTTGGCTGCAATAAGATCACTTTTACTGAAAACTGGCCAGAGCACATCATGGCTTATCACAGTCGAGCCGAAAGGAAACTCCAAGTCTGGCGACTTTGCCACCGTAATGCCCATGTCAGCTCCCTTCCCCAGCTGGTCTCCAGTGTGTTTGGGAATCCGGAGGCAGTTTGGTATCGATTCACCTCATTCCCTAAAGATTGTTCTTGGGGCACCTGGTGGCTCAGTCGGTTAAGCATTTGACTCTTTTTCTTTTTTTTTTTTTTTAAAGATTTTATTTATTTGGGAGAAAGTGAGAGCATGAGCGGGGGGGAGGGGTAGAGGGAGAGGGAGAAGCAGACTCCCCTCTGAACAGGGAGCCTGACATGGGGCTTTATCCCAGGACACTGGGATCATGACCAGAGATGAAAGCAGATGCTTAACTGACTGAGCCACCCAGGTGCCCTGGCATCTGACTCTTGATTTTGGCTCAGGTCATGATCTCAGGGTTCTGGGATCGATCCAGCTCCACGTCAAGCTCCGTGCTCAGCAGGGAGTCTGCCTGAGGATTCTCTCTCTCCCTCTCCCTCTGCCCATCCTGCTCGTACTCTCTCTCTCTCAAATAAATAAATCTTAAAAAAAAAAGAGAGAGAATGTTCTTTATGTTCTTTATGCCATGTTGTATGTTATGTATATAACTGACTTATCCACATTCGCCAGTTAGGGATATTCCCTAGAAAAGATCCAGCAAAACTGGTTAATTGGAAAAGGCTGCCAGTGGGCTGTTTGGGCTAATTAACTCTGCGACAGGGGGAACCCATGCCCGTATTGATTAGAATAAACCTGTCATTGTAAATCTTTCCCGAAGATCCCAGGTCCTCTTTCCGTCCTGACCTGATAACAAGTCCATGACCTTATTTGCCATGCCGGGCATGCTTCTTTGGGACTTGGCTCCTCGTCGTGTGGAGCTTCAGCTGGAGGAGGCCGGGGAGGGGGGTTTGGGCTGAGTGTGGCTAAAGTCCAGGATGTGTGTGGGTACCTGATATTGCCCCATTGCCCCTTGCCAGGCATTTGCTGCTTCTTCCACCCTGCAGAGAGAATCGGACTCACGGAGGGTTCTGGGTGTTGGTGCCTGGGGTGGGGGGGGGGTGTGGGTTGAAGAGTCTTCATGTTCTTGGTGACACTATAACATGTTCTAGCTGTCATCTGTCAGGCTCTTAGTTTCTCAGTGAACAGAAGGGCTCTTGAGAGCCCTGACTAATGCTTTCCAGAGGCTCCATAGATTGGGATGTCCTGTCTAGGTTAGGGCCTCCGAAGCCCCACCAAGAGGAAACAGTCAAGAGCACGGATTTCCTAGCCGTACTTTCATAGAGTCAAACCTGGAAGCTGCCAGGGGCTCATGTGAATTGAGATCGGAGCCACAGGGTCAGACCCTCACACCTTAGAGCTCTTGGATGGCTGTGAGGAATGAATGGACACCTCCTAAAGAAGGCAGCTGGTATGGGGTCATTCCTCTCCCTGCCTCCCAATTTCTCCACATTGGCATTCCGAAAATGATGAAGCCTCTGGCAAAATGCCCTGTCTCAGAGAACTGTATGTGACCCTTGGGGCTTTGCCTTAACACAGGATCTGCAGGTGAGGATCTGGGATGGACAAGGAGGAAAGGCCCTTGGCATGGGTTGTGCAGAACCCAGGAGGCCCATCCTTCTGCCTTCCTAGCACAAAGTTCTCCCTCCTTCTTCCCTTTCCTTCATCCTCCACCTTGGCTGATTCCTCCTAGGAGGGCTCCTTGGGCTGCTGTGCCTGGAACAGGTGTGAGAGCTTGTAGAGAGGCGATTCTAAGACATCCCAAGGCATTCTTTGCAGATTGGTCAGGAGGAACCCCTGCAGCCAGGCTGCTTGGCTCAAATCCTAGCTCTACAACAAGCTATTTACCTGACCCAGGCCTCAGTTTCCTCATACTCAGAATGGGAATAATAATAGTACCAACCTTAGAGGGTTGCTAGGTTTACCCACATAAGGTGCCAAGAACAGTCCTAAGCACTATAAAATGTTAGCTTTCAGTAAATTAATGAGGGATAAAAAATCTTTATTATGTTACATCTTCTCTAGGGACACAGTAGAGTTCTTACTTATTCAGGACCTCATCTCACCCATTTGAGTTTTGTGTCTTTCATTGAATAAGGCTTGTGCGTGCCTTGCTAGACTCGCCTGGGGTCTGCAAGATTCATGCATAGTCTTCTGAGTAGTCCCTGCCCTGTTCCTGGCCCTCTCCAGGCTGTCTTCCACAGAGCAGCAGAATGATCCTTGAAACGTACATCAAATCACAGCATTCCTCTCTCCAAAGCTCGTGAGGGGCTGCCCATCTCAGGATTAAATCTGAAGTCCTCAACGGAGCCAGCACTTCTAGATGCGTTCTGGCCTTTGGCCGCCTTTATGGCCACACCTCCTACCACTTTCCTTCTGGCTTAACCTTGCTTTAGCCTGCACGCTAGCTGTCTCAGGACCTTTGTGCTTGCTGCCCCCTTTGCTGGAATGCTGTCCTCCAGATACCCTCCGGTCTGATCTCTGCAACAATGTTACCACATCAGAGAGGTCTTCTCTGATCCTCTCTAATTAGCATCACCCCCTCCTATCACTCTCTCCTGATAATCCTGTTTATATTTCTTCACAGCACTGATCACCACCTGACCTATTACATTCACATTTGTCTCTTTGTGTGTCGACGGCTTCCTGAACCAAATTGTTAAGTTCCATGAGGACTGAGGCTTTGCTGCTCCGTCTCCAGCACCTCAGTTGGTCTGCAGTACATATTAGGTGTTTAATAAGTACTTGTCACATACACCTTTTATTTACTTTTGTGAATAGGAGCCAGTTGTTTGTTTCTATACGTACCTTCTTTTCTGTGCACTGAACTTCATTTATTGTTTTCTCTGGTGCCTTTCACTGATTTTTTTGGGCCCACAAATCACTCATTTTTTTTGAAGATTCTGTGATTGGCATGTTCTGTGAACCATCTCTCAAGTACTAATTGTCTCACACAGACATTGGACAGGAGCTATTTGGCAGATGAATGAACATTGAGGTAATTAGTGAGTGTCTGGAGGGTATACGTTCTACATCTTGTGATGACAAGAATGATAATTATTTTTTTTTAATTTTTTAAAAAGATTTTATTTATTTATTTGAGAGAGAGAGCATGAGCAGGGGTAGGGGTAGAGGGAGAAGCAGACTCCCCGCTGAGCAGGGAGCCCAATGCGGGACTCGATCCCGGGGCGCTGGGATCATGACCAGAGGTGAAGTCAGATGCTTAACCAACTGAGCCACTCAGGCGTCCCAAGAATGATAATTATTGAATGTCTTCGTGCAGGATACTCTTCTGCAAGATTATTAATACCCTCCTCATAGTCAAGGTGGTTGGGCCAAACTGGACCAAAGAGCTTAAGAGTTTTTCTGGTTGTTAATGTGGACTAGGGAGTTAGACTTTGGGGTTTGAATCCCAGCTCCATCACTTAGGACTGGCTGTGGGATCTTTAGACAAACTGTTTAATCTCTATCTGAGCTCAGTTTCCTCATATATAAAATAGTGGTATTAGTACCTATCTCATATTATTGGGGGAATTAAGTTAATGCAGATAAGGCACATAGGAAGTACTCAGTTGGTATAAGTAACTTTGTTGAGATTAGTACTGACATTACAATTTTTACCACCCAAGGTCACAGATTTTGAGTCCAGGGCCATCTGAGCCTCTTCCGGGCTGCTTTTATGCCTGCATCAGTTTTATGATGATGTGTAATAGAGCCCCGGGGGCTCTGTGGGGCCATCTGTAGAGAAGAGTTAACTGGGAGCGGGGTCAAGTTCTGTTCTTGCTCCCAGTCCCCTAGCCAGAGTGTCTCTGCTCGTCTCTCGTACACATCAGACTTCCAAGTAAGGGTTCCTTTGCTGCAAGGGTGACAGCCAAGGGAAGGTTTGAATCTTGCATTACCACATCATGATGCCACAAATCCCACAGAAATGACATTTTTATGTGAACATTTAGCTCGTCCTTTCTGCGTTTCTATCTCATAGTAATTTGAGTGACGTCAAGTGATGCCAACAGGACCAAACACGGTTGCTTTTGAATCTGTTGAGTGCTCGGATGAGTACCCAAGGGCTGTATTCTCTCCTTTTCTGAAGACACAATTACCACTTACTTCAAATGGAAGAAATTTTTATAGGCTTCCTGTGTGCCCCACATAGCAATCATTTATGCAAAAACAACACGGATTCCTCCTAAAATGGACACAGTTCATTCAATAATGATGGTTCATAGTTATAACACTACGGAACAAGGGATTTCCCTTAATTAATTACTCTGTGTACTATGATAGGCTCAGGTTCACTTTCTGAAACTCTTTCCAAAAAGAGCACACTTAGGGCATGGGATATCAGGATTCGTGTAATTAAATCTTTAAGGCAAAAAAAAAGGTGTCATGGTGGTCCTTATCTCTAAGCACCCAGTGGTTCTGGAGGTGTGAGGAAAAGAAATGCCTTGCAAGCAGAAACAGGACTAATAAATGAAACTCCTTATAAGGTTGAATTCTTGAAACCTGAATGGAGTTTCCTGGGTGTGATGGTACTTGACTGGAACCCCAAAATTCTGTGCCAGGAAGTTGGAAAGTGGTGACTTAAAGACCCCAGCCCCTTGTCAAAATGATTTGTTTCTAGTACAAAAGACCACTGTTGTTAGCTTCCAGTACAGTGTTAACCTTTGCT